TACTCATCGACTGCTTGGACTCGGGAAGTGCCCGATACATAAGCTAGTAGACTTGGAGGCGGAATGCTGTAAATGGCTTCGAAGGTTGTCATCTTGGTAGAGGAGTGAGTGGAAGTGTTGTAGCTGAACTCAGCCCAGGGAATCCATTCGAGCCATTTTCACGGCTGGTCCCCTACAAAACAACGTAAATATTGCTCCAAAGTTTGATTGACAACTTTCGTTCGGCCGTCGGATTGGGGATGGTAATTTGAGCTCATACACAACTTGGTTCCTTGCAGCTGGAATAATGTGCGCCAAAAAGAGCTGATGAACACCTTGTGCCGGTCGCTAACGATTGATGTCAGAATACCACGCAGGCGAACCACGTTGGCAACAAATGCCTTGGCGACAATTACAACAGTAAATGGGTGTTTCAAGGCTACGAAGTGAGCATATTTTGTCAATCGGTCAATGACGACCATGATGGCAATATATCAAGTAGAAGATGGTAACCCCTTAATAAAGTTCATAGAGACATCAATCCACATTTGAGTAGAGATGGGTAGCAGCTGAAGCAACCACGCCGGCTTCATACAATCTGTTTTGAACCGTTGACAGATATCACATTGTTGCAAAAAATCCTTCACCGTCCGGCGCATATTAGACCAAAAGAAACTCTGTTTGATACGGGAGAGAGTTTTATGAAACCTAAAGTGCCCACCTATGGGTGACGAATGGCAGTCAGCCATTATCTTCGGAATCAAGGGTGAGGTAAGGCTCAAATAGACTTTGTCTCTTTTGAACCACATGCCATCACGTTGGAGCAACTTGTGGGCAGCTTGAGAGGGGTGTTTCTGTAATAAGTCTGCATAAAATGAGTCCCGTTGGACTTCCTTTTGAAGCATTGGCCACCAATCTGCACGTGGTTGAGAAATGGATAAAAATTGGAATTCAACTACACGTGACAAAGAATCTGCACCTTGATTTTCAGGCCCACGTTTATACTAAATTTCGTAATCATAACCAAGGATTTTTGGTAGCCATCGTGTTTGTGATGGTGTAGTAATTCGTTGCTCCAATAGGTACTTGAGACTTTTTTGGTCAGTGCGGACGATAAATGGTTTCCCTAGCAAGTATGGACGCCATTTCTTGATTGCTTTGACGATAGCTAACATTTCTTTCTCGTAGGTGGACAATGTCAAGGTCGAGCCTTTCAATGCTTTGCTAAAATACTCCACTAGTTGATTTTGTTGGGTAAGAATTGCACCGAGTCCGATTCCAATTCCGCTAGCATCGCATTCAATTACGAATCGTTGAGTAAAATCAGAAAGGCATAAAACTGGTGGTGACATCAATGCCTCTTTTAATTGTTTGAAGGCCATCTCTGCTGCTTCAGTCCATTGAAATCCATCCTTGCTCAAGAGATGGGTCAGAGGAGCTGCTATACATCCGAAATGACGAATAAATTTCCTGTAGTATCCTGCTAAATCGAGGAACCCACAGACCCCTTTTGCTATTGTTAGTGTCAGCCACTCAATGACAGCTTGTATTTTGGTTGGATCAACCGATACCCCCTGCTCTGAAATGACGTGACCCAAGTAGTCGACTTATAAAACTTCAAATCGACATTTCGACTCTTTTGCAAATAAACCGTTAGTTGATAAGATCTATAGAGCAATTTGCAAATGTGTGAGATGATCTTCCCATGATTTCAAATACACTAGAATGTCATCAAAGAAAACCAAAATAAATTGCCGGAGATAGGGATGGAAGATATCATTCATAAGAATTTAGAAGGTTGCTAGAGCGTTAGTGAGACCAAATGGCATCACAATGAACTCAAAATGCTCTTCGTGCGTCTGGAATGCAGTTTTAGGAATGTCGTCTTCTTGCACGCGAATTTGATGATATCCAGTCCGTAAATTCAATTTGTAGTAAAATTTGGCACCGTGGAGCTCATCTAATAGTTCATCGATGATAGGAATTGGATACTTATCTTTAACTGTGATGTCGTTTAGAGCTCGATAATCCACACAAAATCGCCAAGCGCCATCTGCTTTCTTTACCAACAGAATTGGGGATGAGAACGGGTTGTGGCTTGGCCGTATCAAACCAGATTGCAAAAGCTCTTTTACCATTTTCTCTATCTTAGTTTTTTGGAAATAAGGGTATCGATAAGGCCTTACACTGACTGGTCCCGCGGTCGGATGTAATGGAATGTGATGATCATGTGACCGCCATGGAGGTATGTTGGTAGGTGTTTCAAATACCTGAGAGAATTTTGCTAGGAGGTGGCCTATCGCAGGTGGGTAGGAAGTTGGTTGGTTGCCGCTGTTGGAAGGAATTATTTGACAAAAATAGCCCAGTGCCTTGTAATCCATTGAATTCTTTGTCAGTTAAGGCTTTAATGCCAGTTCGTCCCAATCCCTGGAATTTATGGGAAGTTCCTGCCTTATTGAAGTTCATGGTGAGCTGCTTGTAGTTAGTCTTGATAGGTCCGAGAGTTGCAAGCCATTGCATTCCCAATACTAACTCGCATGTTGCGACAGGAAGAATGTAGTAGTCGGCGGTGAAGAGAAGTCCTTGAATGGTGAGGGTGAGTGCCCGACATTGTCCAGCACATTCTATCTTCTCTCGGTTAGCAACCATGACTTGGAATTTCTTATCCTGGATTACTGGTAACCCGAACTTAGAGACAATAGCCTGATCAATGAAGTTGTGAGTGCTGCCACTGTCAATTAGCACCATTACATGCTTGTTTTTCAACTTGCCAAGGACACGTATGGTTTGTGGGTGTTTGGTACCTGCAATTGCATGAAAAGAAATTTCAGGTAGAGCTTCATGAGGTTCAAGTTCTAGTTGATCGCCCTTAACATCCTTGATGCTCATATGGGGTGAATCCTCGATCATAAACAATTGCAGTTGTTCGCAACGATGGCCTGGAACGAACTTCTTGTCACAATAATAGCATAACCCTTTCTCTCAACGTTCTCGTGCCTCTTGATTGGTGATTCGGCGGAAGGTTGCTGGTTGAGTATTGGAACTTTGGTTTATGCGCTGGGTTGGTGGAGGTCCTAGTATACCAGCTGCTGGGTTGGGTGTTGCTCTTGGTGTCACTAAGGCTGGTTGGGAAGGAATTTGCTGGACTTGTTTCCTTTGCAAATGGTTTCGTTCCTCAATTAGTCAAGCCACTCCTATCGTATCTGCCAAGGTTCTGGGTTGTTTGATTTTTACGTCGATGCGAATTCATCTCGAAGTCCTGTAATAAACAACCAATTAGAAAATTTTCGGGTAGGCCGTCAACTCGGTAGGAGAGTTTTTCAAAAGCTTCTTGATAAGCGGCCACAGGTATGGTTTGTTTGAGGCGAGTCAGAGCTTCCGACGGGTCCTTATAGTTGATTAGACCAAATCGAAGTTGTACAGTCGTGGTAAATTCATCCCATGTGAGTGGTCCACGAAATTTCGTCAACCATCTGTGCCATTGTAGAGCGATGCCTTCTAAATGGAAGGAGGGCAGCTGAACTTGTTGATTTGGTCCCACATTTTTGAAATCAAAGTATTGTTCTGCCTTGTAAATCCAGCATGTGGGGTCATCTCCATTAAACTTAGGAAAGGACAATTTAAGGTGTTGGTGATGGTGGTGATTGATGGGATTAGGACGAGAAGTATGTGGATGTGAAGATTCTTCATGTGCTAATGAGTTGGTTTCGGAAGAGCTAGTGTTTGAGGTACGTGAGGTTCGAAGAGCTTGAAGCTCAGTTAACACCGCTTGTAAGGCAGCGTTCACTTGATCGAACCTTGATTCATGTCGTGCTAATGTTTCGTTGACTTCGTTGCGGAATTCTGCATTCGTTTTGCCACGAGTGTCCATGGTCGAAACCTCGCTCTGATACCATTGATACGAAGGAATTTAGAATAAGAAAGGAATAGAAGAAGGAAGAGACTATTTGAGAATAAACTGCATATCTTTATTGACTCATTCAGGCTATATATAGCCATACAACTAGTAGGGAAAATAACAACAATGCTAAAGAATAGCACCCACGTAAAGGACTCAACAAACAACCAAATGCTAAAGAATAGCACCCACGTAATAGACTCAACAAACAATGACTAATAAACAAATTAGACCAAGTCTTCTATCTTGCCACTACACTTCGTGGACTGGTCTGGTGTAGGTAAAGTGGCACATATCAACTACCTTCATAAATTGGTGCACGCTTAATATAAACTAAAAGAAGACGATACCATAACATTGAAAAGGTCTTAAATCCCCAAAAATATAACCCCACAAACAGTAAACGGAAATCTACTAAAGAGGCACGTGAGACTCAGACGACCCACGTGACAAAGAATGACTGTGGATTGTGAAAGTTAGGAGAGTCCTTTTTTATTTTTTATTTTAAAAGTAGACCCAAATACACAGTGATTCACCCCAATTGGGCCATCTCGTTAAGTTGGTCCCAATTAATCCCAGTTGGCCCGGAGGCCCATTCGAATCCATGGCGTGATGCTCAGAGCAGAATCTAAGCATGAACGGTCCGCAAGCATCATGCCAGAAAAAAATCTTCTACAGTACGAACTCCCAGTGAAGCATATTTACATGTCAGCAAAAATTTAATTTTAAAATTTTAAATATGAGTGACGTTCTAGACCGATAAAAATGGTCAAAGCCGTCAGCCACTAGTAGTGGGCACTGTACACTTACTTCCCTGCACCTTCCTTCAGCATATCTTTACTTCATAGTTATCTCTTGACTCGTTGCAGCAACAGTGGAATCTCCATAAACTCGAGAGAGAACTGAATATTTTAAACAAGCGAAATTAATCTAGTGTGGTCCCGTTATCCACAAACTTCAATTAAAGCATTGGGCATTAGGGTAAATGAGGAATTAAGATGATAGGAATGGACTTTTTTGTCCAGAAGATACAAGTTTTAATAGCAAAATTGAAGAACTGTGAAAAGGAGGACCGCAGTGGGTACATTTATAACAAATAACAACGGTGCACGTTTTGATGGCACCAATAGCAACTGAGGAAATTTGGCAACACGTGGTTTCTGAAGAGAACCCCACTTTTGTTTTGTCCGAACACTCCATCTTCAAGGCCTTGACTCTTCACAGGGGAAAGAAACAGTTTTTTCTTTGTTAATCTTTTTTTAAAAAAAATTTCTGGGAAAATCTTGTTGTTAACGGAGAGCTTGAGATTTACGTGAATGGGAGACATGGAAAATGAGGTTTTACCTGATGGGTGGAGGGTGGAGATGAGAGTCAGAAAGAATGGTAGAAAAGATAAGGTAATTTAATTTGTTTGGTAATTTTTACAGGTATTGGTTATTTTGTTCTTTGTTAATTTTTTTTTTTTATGAAAAAGCTAGCTGTAGCTTCATGAATGTTACAGAGATTTTTACTTAATTTCTTTTGATGGGTTGTGTTTAATTTTACTGCTGGAACTGTAAGTTTTTAGCTTTTTTTATTTTTTTATTTTTATGGTTTGTACTTCTGTTATTGTTGGGTTATCGTAAGGTTACAGCTTTAGAAAGGTGAGATCTTTGTGAACGTTTTCATTTTACTTGTTTTTTTACTGTTGGAATTGACTTTTTAACTTGGATTTTCCGGTGTGTTGTAGTTGCAGTTGTAACAAGATTTGGTAGTAAATTGAATTTTATTTTATTTTTGTTTTTGTTTTTGGAAACAGTTTATTCATGTATGTTAATTTGAATAAACTACTCTGTACAATTAGAGCATGGTTACAGTGTGAGAAAAATATGGTTTGCATGTAATTATCAAGGCTGTTTTTCGATATTTTGATTGTTGAAATATTGGAGATTAAGACTGTCTTAGCGTTGCTGATAAATTAAATCAGTTGGGTGCTGTTTGTGGTGATTGTAATCCTCTAGATTAGCAGAGTAATTTCCAAAACCAGTACTGTTGATCTATAAGATGCATGGAAGGAAAGTTTTTATTTTTCGGTAATAGTTCTAATAAAAGAACATGTTTTCTTCCCAAATGCTGCCTTGAGGGGTTTTGAGGAGGGGGGTTCTGAGAAAATGTTTGGAGAGTTTCAAATGTTTTTTTTGTTTTCCCTTTCTCTTGATCTCAAACTGAAATTCATTTTTGAACGGGGAGAATATTTTATATTATTTAGTCTTTTTGGGAACCAAGATTTAGATCATTTTACTTAAAAGATTGAAGTTTGGAGCTTTTTGAGATTAATGTAAGCCATTATTTGGATAGCTTTCTTGACCACAGTTTTAAAATCTATTAAGTTTTATGCTCAATCCTTTGATTGTGGAGGGAGGGGCTCATTGCAGCATTACTTTGCTCCCGCAAATGGACTAAAATTCAATTCTAAGGTATGGATGCTTTGTTATCTTAATATTAGATCTGAAGAGATCGATAAAGGTACCTAGCAAGCAATTGGAAAACAAAAGTGTCTTTACATGATCTGCCCATTATGCTTTCATTTTTATCTTTCTTATCCTTTTTCTCTTTCAAGGAGAAAGTTTTGATTATTTGAGCAATCTAGGTCTATATTGAGAAGGTTGAAGCAGAAGGGCTACCTCCAGGATGGATTAAGGAAATTAGGGTAACGAAGACAGCAAATAAAGTCAGAAAAGATCCGGTAATCAACCGCCACTTTGCACTTTTAGCATTTTTTGATTTGTTGTGCTTTCTAGTAGTTTCAGTCTCTTGGTCCTTTTTCTATCTGTAGTTCATACTTTGTCTTTGTTGTCAATCCTCTCAACATTATAGTTTTGCTTGGCTGTTTCTAGAGTTAATGAGTTGATCTGACAGCTCAGCCACTCTTGTATTTGCTGGTTGATAATTAACTGCTGCAGGTTTACATTGATCCTGTAAGTGGATATTTTTTCCGCTCTATGAGGGATGCATCTCGCTATCTTGAAACTGGTAAGATAGGAAGGTTGGCTTACAAACCGAAGGACAAAGGCAGCAATGATGGCGGGCATGATGAGGAATTGGAAAATGATAAATGCGATGTAAGTCTGCTCATGATTGGATTCTCTAATTTGATATCTTTGTTTCTTCAAGTAATTAAATGTGCCAGAGCATCAATTTTGGATTCCCGAGTCTCTGTTGTTTCTTGTCATAATTCATCAAAATCTATTCATTAACTGCTCTTATCTCTTATGTCTTTCCTTTTTTATTAATAGGTTATTAGAAAAAAAAAATGTAAATTAATGAACACCATAAGAGGTGAAAGTGGAGCCCTTAATACACTAGCATCATAGAAGACAAGCACCTAATAATAAAGAGAATTAATACTTCTTGTAAATGTAGAACATCAATAAATTCCTTAAAGAAAAAAGAATTTGAAAATGTAGATGGTAACAAAAGCCTTGCGAAAAATGTCCCCAAGAGCAGTATTAAAAGCACCTTAAGGATATCTCCACCTTCACAAAAGGTCAAATGCCATCTTGTTCTCGTTATACACCATCCAAATACAACCTTTGTGTGGCATCACTCAACATAACCCAAAATGAGATAGAATTAAATACTGAGACTCTCTAGCCTTTGAGTAATGCTAGAGCCTATGATCTACAGTCTGTCCTTCTCTTTTACACATGTAGCACCAATTAACATCGCCGTGTTCATTTGAACTAAATTTTTTGTTGTATAGAATTTCAAGTAGACTAGAATATAGAAGACAGAAAATTTTACTAATGTTTTGAAAAAATACAAGGAGCTAATTTACTTCTTCACTGTAGTCAGAGCTTCTTAATTGCTTATGTCTTTGTATGGTGTAAAGCCTATTTATAATTGTACAAAGGCGATTTATACAATATACTTTAAAAAAAAATGTTTTTAAAATTCAGTTTGCGTGACATTTCAATTTTGATTGGTTGACTGAGTTGGCCAAAGGTGTTTCATTGGCTGAACCACCTGGCATTTACATAGCTATTTGAGCTATAAAAAGGGTGTACACCTAACTCAATATTTGCTCCTTATTGGCTGAAGTGTTGGTTGCACTTGTTTAGTTAAAATGTAGCTGGAAGCGTGATTGTGTTGTGAAGCAACATTTGCCATGCAAATTGTAGATTTGATAACTTAGGCAACTTAGGATCTGTATCATGTGTTATAATTTTATGTAGTGGTAATGGAAAAAATACAACTCTACACAATTTGAAAATTTTGAAGATGGAGTTGAACAGCAGCTAATAGTTGGGTATGCTTCGGAAGAAAAAGTAAATCAGAAAGAAAGAATAAAATAGTGAAGGAGATTACAAGGACAGTGCTAAAAGAAAAGGGTATGGCAAAGACGTTTTGGGTAGAAGCATTCTACATTGTAATCTACTTGCTAAATAGGTGTCCAACAAAAGCAACAATTCCAAATCAAGATCAAGAGGTAGTTGAAGAATCAAAACTTGATCCAAGGACTCCATATGACACTCTTACTTCTCGACAGGAAGATGCATCTCAACGGGAGGTCTCCTTTTTGAGACACTGAAGGAAAGTGTGATCTGTAATTGATATATATGAGAAGGCTTCAAAATCTTAGGACCTAAAAGTCATAAAACAACTTCAAAGCAAGAGGTATGAATAAAGGCTATGCAAGAAGAGACTAAAATGATTGAGAAAAAATGATACCTCATAGTTGGTGGATTATCCAAAATATAAAGAGCTCAATAGATTCAAATATGTCTTTAAGAATAACTTCAACTCTGACCGCTCAATGCAAAAGTCCAAGGCACTGCTAATCGCAAAAGGATATGCACAACAATTTGGAGTTGACTGTAATGATGCAGTCGCTCTTGTTGCTCACCTAGACATGATTAAAATTCTTATTGTATAAACCATCTTTGTACGACTATTAAAAGACTGTGTCTTCATTTGCAACATACTGGGATACTAAGAATTGAAACGCTCAAACTAAGAAAGGAGCCTTGTATTCTCTCAAGATCTTTTTTAAGATTTTCTATTTGCCATATTCTAGTCTATTTTAATAGCTACCATAGCTCCCAAGCAATCTCATCTTCAACCACAACCATGCAGCTTCTGCAATGTGCCTAATAATGTCACTACTAATATTCCCAAACTGTGAGTGCTCAAATCTAATTGGACTCTATTTGCATCCTTTAGGACCAACATTTATTTATTTATTTATTTATTTTTGAGGATTGGGAGGTTTTGTGTTTGTTATTAGAGAGATTTTGGATTGCTACTAAGTTATAATTTGTTAAAGGAGTGGCCTATTTGGTTAGCAGCTCCGATGTTTACTATTTTGAAGGATTTCTAAGAGCACCTGGATCTCCCCTCTACAAGGTTGAAAGTGATTTTAACTTCGGGCTTTATTTTACTTGATCATGAATGCTTATATGGGTATTTAATCCAGAATGCTTCATTTAAGTTGTGCAAGTTGTAAAACTGACAATATGTCTCGGGCTTGAGAAGATTGTTTTACTATATGCAGCTAAATGTAATTCTTACAACTGCATGAATAAGATGCGAATTGAACCTTTTATGATGTTTTAATAGAATACATGGCTGATTTTCAACAATGTTGATGAAACTACCAACTTTAGATGCATTTATGGCACCTAGTATCTGTGTGACCATAATGACTGTTAGACATTGATTTCATACAAGTTCGAAGGTTTCTTTTTTTTTTTTTTTTTTTTTTTGGTGGTTGCTAAATCGTACAAGTTTGAACTATTAAATTATGATAGACTTTGAGCTTCGTCATTAGATGCTTTGTGTCTTTTGGCCCTTAAGTTTGTCCGCACTCAAATAAGTAAATTCTTAAGAAAGTGTAGCTTATTCATTTTCTACCTCCTAAGTTGATAGGCTATGCTTAATACATATAATATATATATAGGGTTTGAACTAACATGTAAATGGCTTGATCATTCAGAACATTGGTACTTGTGTCAGCTTACATTACTTACTGCTTTGAGATAATTCCCCTTGTTCTATGTGATACTAGGAGAAATAATTGTTTGGTTAAAAATTATCGATCGTTGTCTTTTCATTTTTTGTAATTTTTCTTCGTGTCTTATATTAGTCACCTACCGTGGCCAAGAAACAGAAGTTAGAAGTCCCTGGAGCAGAAACACCGGTTGTAGATCAGAGCACAACGTCTCCTGCTGTGGCCAAGAAACAGAAGTTAGAAACCCCTGGAACAAAAACACCGGTTGTAGATTGGAGCACAAAGGCGAGTGACATAGCAGAGAATGAAGATGCACTCAATTCAGCCGGTACAGGAGAACAGACTGAGAATGAAGATGCACTCAATTCAGACAGTACCGGAGAACGCATATGCCTCACTGAACGTGCTTCTAATCAGAGTAAAGTCCTTAATTTTCATCTCAGCTTTAAACAGTCATTTATTGTATAATCCATTTATCTCTTCTACTTTCCCATTTGTTGTTGAGAAAGGAGTGAGGACTTTGGAAATATTTTGCTATTATAGGAATATGACATGTGACACTACTAATTACCAATTAACATTTATGGAACTTATAAAGGATAGAAAATTGAAAAGGAAACAAGGCCATTCAATTTTTCTGTATGTCCAAACACTCCCTGATTCTTGCTTCCCAAAAGATTATAGGATTCAGCATGGGCCCTAGTTTCAAACTCAAGTTTGCTAATTTCTTGTTTCTCAATGCTTTTGTCTCCTATCTCAAGATTTTCTTGTAAGGAGAAAAACTCTTCGCCTTCCCACTTCCGCTATCTAGGTGATCTTATATTGTTTTTTCTTTTCAGTAACTGTCGAGTGAAACCAAAAAATGAAGAAAAAAACTCTAGATAGCTAAAGATGTTTGGAGTGTTAGGTTATAATGAATATTAGTAATAAATAATAATAACAAATAAATAAATAAAAGAAAAGAGAATAACTTTGGTTAATATACAGAAACTACTAATATTAGGATACAAAATTTTAATTCCGTTGGTTTTCCAAATTCTGGACCAAAATGAGATTTTGTGTTTGATGTGAATTTACTGGATACTGCAGATGGGGCGGGAATTGTATTGAGCAGTTCTAACGTTCCAGAAGCTAAGGATTCCAATAAAATGGATGGGGAGAAGGATTCTGATAAAAGTGCATCTCTTTCCACCCCTGCAGTTGGGGTACTCCCAGATAGGAAGTCATCTGAAGGTGGGGACACAGGGGATGAAAGTAAGAACACTGGACCTGGAAAGTGCGGATCCAGGAAAAAAAAAGTGCTTAACTTGCCGCGTCGGGCATCAAAACGACTTGCTGGAGTTGCACTTGATCCAACACCAGAACTAAAACCTATAACCAGAGGCCGTCGAGCTGTAGATAAACAGTCAGATGAGATGGTAGCGTCTACAGTTGAGGGTTTGGCTCCTCAGGTATCCCAACAACCTAATGAACTCAAGGACGAGCCTGAATCAAATCATGCCTCTGATACTACTAAAAGCTCAGACGATTCACTCAAATCAGGTAAGAGCTGGCATCTGACTCAGGATTCAAATGAACATGCTGAGAAGACAGAAACAGACTATAACAGTGACAAGAAGCTAGGATGCGATGTTGTTTTGCCTCAGACGAACCAAGATAAAGCTGAAACTGACAGTAAGGCTGATGTGAAGCCAGGCCCCCTTCTTGACCTTCCTTTTGGGACGAACCAAGATAAAGCCGAAACTGACAGTAAGGCTGATGTGAAGCCAGGTCCCCTTCTTGACCTTCCTTTTGGGGAATTATTATCAGACCCTTGCATTGCTTTTGCAATTAAAACTCTCACAGGAGCAACTTTTGACACTTCGAACACCACTGAAGTGTCACTGGGATCAAACAATAGCATATTTGAGGGCTTTAGTACTTCAGAAGAGCATTCTGGAAAGATAAAGACAGAGTCTGAAGGAGTCGAGAAGCAGAACAACGTCGCTATTCCAAAAGAACAAGCAGTAAAGGTTAAAAGCAGCTATGAAACTGATGAGAATCCAGGACTTCCCCTTGATTTGCCTTTTGCAGATATCTGGAGAGACCCATGCATTGAATTTGCAATAAAAACCCTTACCAGTTCAAACCCAGTTGGGTGTGATCTGGATATTCAGGACTACTTCCAGCAGCAACATAACACATCACAAACCCAAGCAAGCAATAACTTCTGCCAAACCGAGTTCTTATGCCAGCAATACGACGTCCTAGAGAAGCAGGTGTCAAGAGAACAAGGTCGTAATGGAAACGTAAGGATACAAAGCTCAGGTGAAAAAGGTCTTCGCCAACATGGCGAAAAGCGTTGTAATGAATGCCACTGATAGGCCATCTTCTGGTACTAACTTCAATTGTATAGGTATAAGGCTTCTGTAGAACAGAACAGTGCTTCTAACCTTTCGTGCTGTTTCCCACTACGGTTGTGTATCAAAAATTTTCATATTGGACTATGGCACTTTTCAGAATGAGCTTCCGTAGTGAGCTCAGTAGTTGTAGCTTGGCAGTCCAATTTGTAATCAATCAGATAGTTTGAGGCTGGTAGTGCTGGTGCTCACTATCTAAACTTGTGCTTTAGAAATTTTATTCTGCTCCTATTTACTAAATTATTGGGTTTGGCTGTGTCGTTGGTTTTTGTTAGAAAACACAAATCATAGATTCGTCGATGATGACATTAATACAATAAATTTGTTATATATAGCATTATGGCTGTGAGATAGATAGGAATAGGATTTAAATAAATAAAAATAATTGAATATAAATGTCATATTAAGAATATGAAGTATGATTAGTATGTTAAAATATATATATATATATATATATATTTTTTTTTTTTTTTTTTTTTTTTCTTTTGGTGCTCAGAGTGTTCGACCAGTTTGCGTGTATTTTAATTATGCTCAAGGTTTTGAAATGAACGATCAAGTAAACCTTCAGTGATCACCTATATGACAACTAAGGTAAATTAATTCAAACCTCTTAAGTAACTCCAAAGTCTTTATTCAATTACTCGGGTTCATTTGGTTTGTTTTTTTTGAATGAGATTTTGAATAGTATTGGATAGTTGGTTGGGGATTATTACGAGGTAAAATTTAAAAATTAACAAAAAAACCCATTAGGTTTGCTAATTTAACTAAACACCCGAATATATAAAAATTTTGTAAAATGACAAAAACACTCCCACCTACCCACAGTGCCAGATTCCGGTCACCACCATTGGAATCCGGTGTTACTACAAAGACCAGTCGAATTTGATCGATTGCTCGTCGATCTGACCTTTTTCGCCCAGATCCACCACAAATATGGTCGGAAAATGTCAGATATGGCCGTCGATGGCCGCAAAAGGCCAGATCGGCTAATTGTCGACTAGTTTCAATCGTTTTTATGCCGTTGTGACAGACTCCGGCCACCACCAAAGATGGTTGTCAGAATTTGGCAACTATGGGTGGGTGGGGGTGTTTTTGTTAATTTTTAAACTTTTTTTCTAAAAGTGTTTAATTAAATTAATAAACTTAAGGGGTCTACAAATAATTAAATATAATATAATAGTATTTCCTAAATATTAAAATAAACAGTTATTTTGGAAATAGGGCAGGAAATAAAGAACCAAACGACCCTCTACTATCCAGGGTGATTTAGTATGTTAATATTGGTGGGTGATAATTATCCTAATACAGAAAATTAAAAATAAGTATGTAAATAAATAATCTAACTCCATTAGAAAGACCAACAACAGCAAAGGCGCCAAAGCCATAAACTTTGCCGCCAAATTTCACAAATCAACATCTCCTCTTAGTCAGGTAACTTTGTCTCAAAATTCCTTTAATCTTAAAAACAATCTCAATCGATTTGTTTTAGTTTACCCTTCTCTAGTTTTCGATTTTGTTTTCGCTGTTGAGTTTTTCTCAAGAATAAAAGGAGAAAGTTGATCCATTTGCCGAGAAAACAAGAAAATGCAGATTCAAATCAAGTGTAGCTGTGGAGAAGGAAGCTGTCCAGAATGGGCGATTATTGAAGTACAAGGCGTGGTTGAAGTCCAACCCTCCTTTCAGGATCGTCTTCAAAACCTCGAAATTGGTCAACTCTGTCGACCTTCTTCTCAGGTTTGAGATTGTAATGGATTGATTTTTTTGGTCATAAATGCAAGGTATGAACAACGATTCTAAGACATTTGTTTCTGGGTTTTCTTCTTCTTTTGTTTGTTTAGGAGAATTATACTTTTACAATTGGATACCACGAACTAACAGGGTCAAAAGTGGCCTTGAAGAAGCCAATGTTGGTGTTAAAAAAAGTGAAGTGTATGGACATTGACCAAAGCAGTGACAATCAATCTCCTGGAACTGAATTAGAGGTTGTTGGAATCATTCGGCATCGAATTTTGTTCAAAACCAGACCGAAGGCCCTAATATCCAGTAAGCTGTACCTTCTTTAACTTGAATTATATCTATCTAAATTCAGTTCCGCTAACATTGGCCTTAAAACGTGACAAGATTGCCATAATAAATGTCGAGACGTTTATGGATTTTGCTTTAGAATAGGACATGTAGAGTATACAATGTCCAGTTTATATTGGTAGCATAAAAGAATGGGCTAGTGCTTGTTTATTAATTTTCTGGGTTCATCGAAAAATAAGGTTCATGATAAGGTAAAGTCTTTATGTGAAATGATTACAGTTGAATGTTCATGCCATGTGAGGTTGTGAATTATTGAAGATGAAAATTGGGGGAGGTGAAAAGATTGCATCCATAATCAACCATTGCAGGTTTCCTTTATGTATGTGATTATGAGAACATCTGTTTCAGGGATAAACAGAGCTTATAGAGGCACCCTTATAATCATATTCATCTTTTCTGGATTGCTGGGGCTCTAATACACATTCTTGTAGGCTGCATTGTGTTTACTTTGAGGAAGTAGAATCTTCTCCAAATCTCTTGTTTGTTTACAGTATTCTCTTCCCCCTTTCTTATGACTTTCTGTGTGTGCGCGCGGGGTAATGTTTTGATATTATCATGAAAAACAGTTTCCATCTCATTCAATTCGAGTGTGTATATAATAGGTTTTGTTCCAAGTTTTAGCGTTCTGTTATTTGAATGGCTGATCTTGTTACCATATGTGGAGAGGTAATTTAATTAATTTAAGTAATGTTAAATTCAGAATCCAATCTCACAACCTCTAACGTGACAGCTCACAAATGGGTAGACATGATTCATTTGCAAGCTAACCAGTTGCAAGTTGTCACGTCGGAGATTATGAGATTGGGTTGTAAACCTAACGTTACTCAATTAATTTTATTACTGTTTAGCATCTGGCAGAGATGGTATATGTATGGGTTGGGTTGGATTAAGTCTATTGATGAATCTGTCGTGCTTTTCGCCCTGCTCAAGGAGAAATCAATTCATTTTATAATGCTGCTCATATAACTCTTTCTGACTTTTTTTTTTTTCTCTACTTTCTGTATAGACTTCTGTATGCTTGAAATTCATTTGATTTATGATCCATTTATTTAAATCCACATTTAGGCAGACCTTGTTAAGTGAAATTAGATTAACACTAAAGTTTTGATATTTCAACCCCTAATCCCGTCTTAATTTTGTTGTTTTGATCCAGAACCACAGCCAGTAGTGAAGGATAGAGCTAGTGCCGCCGCCGCAAGTTCTTCTGTACAAACCTAGTGAGAGATCAATTTGCATCTGCAAATGCAAGGATTTAAAACTAGTGATTTCAAATTTTTATTGTTTAGCTTATTTGAATGTTATTTTATAGCACTCCTATGTTTATCATAGTTTGAGGAATTCCTCAGAGGCTATATTTCAGTGCATGTAATATTAGATTTGGAAGCCTAATTTAATGAGTAGCAACCGCAAACTAACAAATATTTCTTAGTAGCTTGAGCAGGACGGTGGAAGCAGTTCCCTTCTATTTCCTTCTTCGAGGAGTGTTAACAATAGTACAAACACTATTTGAATTTCAAACCAGCTGAAACAATCAAAAACCACCAGTGGATGGAATCAACTTTTAAACATAAAGAAATTAATGTCAACCCTGATTTATTTACAGACCTACAAAAATCAGAGGAAAATAGGCATGATTAAGAATAGTTTCTTCTAAGCAGAAGCAGGGGCTGCACCTGCGCGAGCTCTCAACATTTCAGTTCTCTTGCTCCTTTCCATTACCTCTATCAGCCACTCTAAACTTTCTTTGATCCCCATGCTGCAATCAAAATTTCAAAATCAGGTGATGTCCTGCTGAAAAGATAGTTAAACTAGAACATAGATGATTCAACTATTGAAACTACCACCTTATTACAATTTGGATTATCAGAATCTATATATAATTTCTTTGGTAATACCTCGGCATATATGGAAACTAGTGGGGCATAAAAGTGGAATGTTCATGAATCATCTAACTTACCCATCATAACCTGACACAGCTTCAAACATGTAAACCCTTTCATCTAACTTCTTAAGATCTAGATATCGAGCAAGTTCCTCAGCTGATACAGCATCAGGAAGATCCTGCCAATTAAAAGAAAACAATGAAGTGACAACACAGTAGAATCAAGAGCATAAAAGGAAAAAAGAAAATGAATTGGAACAAGAAGAAAGAAAGAATCAATAATTAATCTTACCTGCTTGTTTGCTAATATCAAAAGAGGCGCTCCTTGTAAGTCTTCATGCCGAAGAACTTTTTCTGATAAACAAATTTTAGATACCAGTGCATCATGATCTTGCAAATTCCAAATTTCCTAGCTAGAATTACAACATTGCAATTCCATACAATTAAACAGTTATTTATCCACTTACCTAGTGCAGATTTTGAGTCTTCAAATCGTGAAGTGCAAGCAGCATCGATTACATATACCACAGCATGTGCCTCTTCATAATATTTCTCCCAAATTGAGCGAAGACCAGGCTGAAAAAAGAAAAAATTCTTACATCAACAACCAAACTTAAATTTTGCAGGGGATATTACAGTGTCATGGATCACATTCACAAAAAATACACATTAAGAACATAACTACTTAGATGTTGCTGATACCTGATCTAGCCCATCACACAAGACAAACATTGAAAAACATAAGCAATTAGCCTCTACAGAGGAAGAAAACATTCTACCTAATCCAAACCAATATTTCAGGTTTCTAAATTCCAATGTTATATTTTCATAAAACAAAAATTGACGCACAACTGGCCAGAAGACAGCTGCTGATTTCAGAGGATCCTAGCTTAAAAGCCTTAAAAAAAAAACCTAAAAGTACCATTTCCAAGAACAGTTGTGAACATCCTGAAAACCCATGGTTCTAGCAACAAATACTGTAATAGTACAGATAATATAACACCAATCACTTGGGAATAACTAATAACCATTATTATTAGTGGTAGTTTTTGTTTAGACTAGTAGTTAATAATAAATGACCATTCTTTTAGCTGTTTTTTAGCCACTTAAATAATTTTCATAACATTATCACAAAAACTTAAATTACTTGTAGAAACACTTAAATTACTTGTAGTGAACAATAAACATAAAAGCTATGTTTCAGCCAGAATTTTTACAAAAGTTAAAATATTACAGAATAATACAACTAGTTTTAGTTATGATCAGACTAATATGCTAGATAGCCTAACCACTAAGGCGTGAGAGAACTGCACAAGAAACTTCTTTTAGTGTATTATGGCAAAAGTAAATTAATAAGTTGATGAATTGTTACACGTATATTTCACATACCTGACCACCCAGATCCCAGAACACGAGCTTTGAATTTGACACTTCAATACGTCCAATATTGAGTCCCACGGTTGGAACAATTCGATCGGGTGGAAGCCCTTCCACGTTTGAGTATTGAGACTTCAACTTCTCCAACAAAGTCTACAAATACATAGAAACTAGATTATAAGAAAAAATTTGGCACCTACATCCAGCATTGGCCACAGATAAAGAAGAGAATAGTCATTAACTGTCTATGGAGTTCAGGCGACGAGAGGTGCAAAAACCACATAAGAATTTAATAATTAAAAAAAAGAAGTAACCTAAACCCTTACCGTTTTCCCAGCCTTGTCGATTCCAAGAATGAGTACATGAAACTCTGTCTTACTGAACATATACTTCCAAAATCCATAGAAAAGTGAGAACATCTCTGACTTGTTTAACCTAAATCTATGATTTATTCTCTCTAATCTTCAAGATAAGAAGAACAGGACTTCATAACACTTAACTCGCTCATGCACATCACTGAACGTCCTGAAAAAAAAAAAAAAATACAAGAAATGAACAAAATTACAACTCTAACAAAACATACAAATGGCAAAAATCCAGGGTAAAGGAAATAAAATTTCATGTAAGCTCAATCTAGTGTTTCTATTTCACTGAATGTCTTTATATTAAAATATGATTATAACATCTCTACAAGATTGAATAAGGTCCAATTGATCTGGATGTTCACTCTAACTTAAAAGCTACCGAACATAAAAAATTCAGTTTTTCAAATTAAATCAGTAGAAGTAATGCAAAAAAATCCAATTAAAAACCATCCAAATCGAATTACCCAGCATGAAACATCCAAATCCAATTAAAAAATTATCATACACATACACATATACATACAAACCACAATTAGATAATTGAAAGTTTCTTCACAACGATAACCAAAGCAAGATCAAAAGAATAAATAAATTAGATCTAACAATTAACAATAAAAATTCCATTCAATTAAATGAGATCGCATCTGAAAACACTTCACAGAATATTCAAAAATTGAAATTTTAAAACCAAACCAGTAACACTTTCAGCAATGAAAACTAAAATAAAAAATCCAGATCATGAATAGTTGTTACGAACTGAGGCCAAATTTTGGATCCAAGTGTAAAAAATTTTAATGGTATTAACGATAGCTTGAATTGACAGCAATATGAAAAGAGATACGTACTGTTGACAGAATGAAGAGAGCTCTCGCCTCTCGCCAGCCCTCTTCTTGTTTCTTGTAATTTTTAAAGGAGAGCTCCTAATAACTAATCGAAGCGTCGGTTTTTTTTTTTTTTTTTTTTTTCTTCTTCTAATTTTTAATTAGTTTATAATTTATTTTTGTTAGGTCATTGGTGTTCTCTTCTTCTACCCGAGTTTCTGTAGACTTGAGTTCTGAATGCCCATTTTGTCCCTGGATTCAATGTTTATGTCCTTGTATCTCATATTCCCGTACTTGCCAACCATATTACCACTTCGTGGAACCCATGTCTCTACTGTACATCAAGCGTATAATTTTAATCATTATCTGTTCGATATAAATAATATTTTGAAATTATTAATTATATAATAATTGAAAATTAAGGGTAATGCAATAATGCATACAGTTATTAGCATAGAATATAAATAACATAATATATTTATGTATTTTAATTTATGCTACTTAGAAGAAGCCCATATTTGAATTTAATATAGTATATAAAAGAAAAAGTAACAATTTAAATTTCAAATAAACAATGCACTCTAGCTTGAGAAATGATACGTATTGGTAACAAGAATATTACAATTATATCTTGTACATATAAATAATATTATGCTTATAAAATTAAAATCTAAAGTTTATATGTCTCAAATATTACAGTTATTAAATTATTACAATAGCTGGTAAAAAAGCTGAAACCTGAAAAGAAAAGTCAAATAAATGAGCGGTTATCCCATCTGTATCTGATAGGGGCATGGTTTGGAAATATAAAAAATAGTCGGGAAGCAAAAACAAGGAGACAAGCGAACAAAACATTTGGAAGAATTCGCAGGCAAGACGAGCGATTGAGAGGTCAATTTTTTTTTAATTTCCTTTTAATTAACTTTTTAATCCTTCGATCCAACTTTTTCTAGTTTTTTTCCCCTTACTTTTTTGCATGTTCTCAGCAACTATTGGTCTGTTTGTCATTTGATAGTTTTATCTTATTTTTGTTGAAATTCGTCGTTCAGTTATAGAATAACGGTTTTTGTGATTTTTGTTCTTTGGTCTCAGATTTATGTTGCTATTGGTCTTATATGGGTGGCATTTGATTGAATTTTCGTTATATTTTCTTGAAAAATTTTAGGGCTGGATATTGCGCCATGGCTTTAGTCATTTGTTCTTCAAAAAACTTTTGACTGTAATCGTAGTATTCTGTGTAGGCTTGGCTGTGGCTCGAGGGATTTAATTCGCGATGCTTGTGTTTATTTTTGAGTTAGTTTGTTTGTTGAGTAGTATTTGTTCTTTTTTGTTATAAACATATAATACATATATTTGAGTTTGGGTTTTTTTTTTTTTTAAACGTTTAGAAATTGAAATTTATATATGTATTCAGGTATCCAGATACAACTTTGCGTTATATGTGTAGGGATTATTTAAGTAGCTGTAACTCTACTTTGACAATTAATATCTAAATTTTATCTTCTTGTCGCATCTCTGTAATTACCTTTAACTGATGTTTGGGGAAATGCATGCATTATGTAGTTGTCCCATTGAATATCTTTGTTTAGAGCATACAAAGGAGCCCTAATTCTCAAATATTGGTGGTCATTAAGTTATGTATGTCTAAGGCTTGGTGATTGAGTGGTGAGAGCTTAATGACTTAACAATGGTAGTCAGACCTGCTGGTAACTACTGCCTTGAAAATTACGGTACTCTTGTCCACCTTATTTTTTTCGAAAGAGCGATTTTCACCCTTATCTTTATTACAGGATGACTTATATTTATTTACTCCTTTATGGTTGTTTCCTTTTTTTTATTATAAAACTGTAGATGACTCCTCTATGATGCTTCATTGTTGTCTAATTTGGCATTCACTATATTCCAATTCTTAAAACACACTTTGATTTCCCTTTTACCTCTCTCATCTCCGAATACACAGTGAAGACTGCCCTGATTATAGCTCATGTTGAATTTGTTATCCTGCTATTTATCATATGTATTATCACATGGCATCAGGTTCCTCTCTTTTTTGGCATAAAAAAATTAAGAAGTGGTTTCTTTTGATGTTTCCTTGATACCAGGTTAATTGAGTGACTTCCTGGTGTGCTGTTGGTCTTCAAGGAGATAACCAGTTTTGCGGAATGAAGTAATCTGCAGAAAATTCTATCAATTTTTTATTTTTATTTATTTATTTATTTTGTTCTCTGTTCTTCATTTCTAGTTTTCATTAATTACTTATTTTAGTATCTTACTATCTAGAGTTAATATAGTAATGCAATATGTTACTTTCAAGAACTACCAGTTAATCAGTTATCAACCGTAGCTACAAATTTTTACATGTATGTTATTTTATGGCTATCAGTAGCTTAGTTGAACATCTGGTCCTATCTAAGATTGTGAAGAATAGATGTTAGAATTATGTTCTGGAAGAAACTGGGTGGACTAAGAATTAGCACAGCTAGTTGATTTTAGACATTTTAAGTAGATTGATGAAGCGAACCTTGCTGTCTTTAGAAATTGTTCAGTGTTGCTGAAAAATCAAATGGTTTAATGATTTACTAATTTCTTCTTCATCAACTTGAATTGGGTGAGTCTTGGCTAGTTTTTTCAGGGTTGTAATTTTTTAAGTTATTTGGGCTGGAGTGTGGTGCAGATTTATGGTTGAATGACCTGTATAGTCTTTGTCTCCCTTCACTGAGACATTTGTTTATGTTCTCATAGACCTCTGATTAACTTGCAGTATCTCTTTTTTTGTTTAACATAATTTCAATGTTTCACATGAGAAAAAAAGTTATATAACATTTTGAAGGTACTTTTGTATCTTTTTTAAATAAGATCACGCAATTTCAGTCTCTCTGTTCTAGAAAAATATTTTGCATGAACCAATCCAAATGTTTGTGGGACCCTCTTCTCTTTTCCGTTTTGACAGGTACATTTATCTTGTAACTTATAAAGCACCGGCATTAGACTGTAAGGTCTGATTGTAAAATTTTATCTTACGAGGAAAAATTCAGAAGTTTACAAATAACAGTTATAATTTTTAGATACTGTAGGATCTTACTGAAGGTTCCTTTGTTATCTCTTTGTATGTCTCACGCTTTTCTTTTTTAATGCTTCTTAAGTGAACTAATCTTGCAAACTGTTGCACGACTTCATGTGATTTAATATCTGAAGTTTATTGGGGTAACAGGGGTGGTCGTGTGAGATGGGATGAGGATAATCTGGGGGAAATTGAAGCAAATAAACCCGTAAGGCAGAAAATTACTGAACCCAAGACACCATATCACCCCAGGATTAATGATGATGGTATGATAATTCTGTTTCTATTTTATATTATTTTTTAATTTTTATTTTGCAGAAGCCAATCTAATTGTATGTGTTTGTAACTATTAAAAGAGAAATTTGTTTGTCTACTTATTACTTGCTAAAATGTGTATTGGTTGAGAAGGGAGTTGTCGGGTTTTGTTTCATTTATTACTTCCAAAATTTGGTACAAAAATCAATTGTTATCGTACTTGTTACTGGGTAATACCTTTCACTTAATTTTTTGTCTTGGTGGTTTGATATAGATAGCTGGTTATTCCATTGTTAGGCCCAATTTATTGAATGTTGTTATGAAAACTGAGTAGTATTTCTCATCAATTATCTGAATTTTGTTGATTACTATAGGTTCTCTGTCGCCTATTCGGGGCAGCTTTAATGAATGTATTGACTCTGTTACTGATGCAATGGATGCTGAAGAATTACGGACTGCTTTGAATGATGTTGCTTCTTCTAGTAAACAAACCAGTGGCCCATCCGGCTGGTCATCATCAGAGGATGAGGCAGATCCTATGGAACAAGATGAAGAAGGTTTTTCCACATTTACTGTTGCATTTTAAGTTAGCCTTGTTCTTTAGCATATTGAACATTGATTTTGATTGCATTAGGTAATTGCTGCAACTGACTTCTTTGTTTTTTTTCATGGTTTCATTTATAAGATTAATCTCTGAAATAAATTAAGTGAAGATAACCACATCCAAATGAGATATCATTACATTTAGCTGCTGTATTGTGTTTTAGTTTGATTACAGAAGTAAATTCCATGTTCAATGAATGTAAAAATTGGCTGTCAGCTAATATCAGTTGCATTAGGGGTGAAGTTATATATGGCTGGAAAACTTAATTTGGTTCCTATATTGTTTATTTATTATTTGTCTGGTAGACATTTAGTGTTGAACACTTATGAATGTTTTCAACAGTGAATAATAAAGCTATTTTTCCTAAAGTTTTCTTCAAAAATATTTGTTTGTTTGAAATTTTTAAATGACAATTTGTATTGGCTTTCAAAGGGAGACCACCTTTTCCTTTTCTCTCATTTGCTTTGTTATTTCAACTGTTTTGCACTTTGTGACTCTGTTTGTAAGGTATGCCTGACATGTCTTATTGCTTGCTGTGTTAGATTCTGAAATGGGTAGGAGTTTGAGTTTTAAGGAGCACAGAAAAGCACACTATGACGAATATCTGACAGTAAAAGAACTCCGGCGTAATGGTTCTGTGCTTGATGATGTAGACGAGGATGAGGGTGAGAAGCAAAATGATGGAAGATCTGCTTCAACTTCATCAGTAAGTGCTGGTGTTAAGTGTATAGACATCGAGGGGGAGACTGCAAATCTGCCCCAACAATCTTCAGCACCACCAACTAATGGAGCTTAGTAGCCGCCATCTGGCCAATGTGAGATGTAAAGTGACTATTTTGGCATCTTTGCTTACAACATATCTCCGTGTATGTTTACTAACAATGAAGTACGTGACTCCTTTTCATCTTCGTGTTTCCCTGTATTTTGCTTGGAAATAGTGTTTTCATATTATGGCAGGGTCGTGGTAAAATCCTCCACCACGGGACATTGATTGCTTATAGCTACCAAATAAGCAGATTTAATCTTAAATTCTTGCATGGTGATTTCTCTGATGGGTTTCCTTCGCTGCTTTAAGAATCTTTTCACTGGAAGATTGAACTTTGTTTGTTCACGGGTAACAATAGAATGGTGTACGATAACTTGGTATTCTTATTGCGTCTAAAGTTCCCATAGCTAAAACAAAGGGATCCTTTGTAAATCATCCAGATGAGATTTTTGTTTGTTTGTTTGATTGATTTTTTTTTTCCTTGTTCCGTATGGTTGTGGGTCAAACATAAATTGTGAACCAAAAACCTCCAATTTCATCACTCAGGATAAAGCCGTCGATATATATTAAACTAAAAGCCAGAAACTGCAAACACGAACAGAAGAGAGGAAAGTCTCCAAATGGCCACACAAAACACATCAATGTCGGCTCTGGCCTCCCAAATATGCAACCAAATAGCGTTAATCTTCTCCAAGCCCACCGGCCTACACCCTCCACCACTAGATCTCATGGTGGCCGAACTGACCAACATAGCCACCCAAAACGGCCGTGTCTTCCTCTACGGAGTAGGTCGGGAAGGCCTCATGCTTAAGGCACTATGCATGCGCTTAGCTCACCTGGGTCTCTCTGCCCACTTCGTTTTCGACATGACTACTCCCCCTATCTCCGCTTCCGACCTCCTTATCGCCTCTGCTGGGCCCGGAGGATTCTCCACCGTTGATGCCATATGCTCCGTGGCACGATCCCATGGTGCCAGAGTTTTGCTGCTGACAGCTCAGCCTGAGAGTGGATCTTGTGTGAAGCATGCTAGTGTTGTGGGTTATGTGGCTGCGCAAACAATGGCAGATGATGGTGGTGAAGAAGAAGGAGAGAAATCTCGGCCTTTGATGCCGATGGGGAGTGTGTATGAAGGAGCCATGTTTGTGTTGTTTGAGATGGTGGTTTATAAGTTGGGTGAAGTGTTGGGACAAAGCCCAGAGACCGTCCGATCTCGCCATACCAATCTGGAATGAACGTGTTATCCATAGTTAATCACCGTCGCTGTACTGATAGTTTGATAGTTGTCCAGTTTGTGCTTGGCTTTTTCACCAAGTTTTCTACTGTAATTTCCTTTCATTGTAATGCATGCTTTATATCTCCTCCTTGGCTCCTGGAAGTAGTAAATAGTAATGTTCAGGATAGTCTTTTTGGCAAACAACAAACAATGTCAGTGGGAGTAGGAGTAGCAGTCCCAATGGCTAACTCGACGGCTGGACCGTGGGCCCGTCAAAACACAACCATAAGTGATAAGCCCAGACCCAGTTGAAGCTAAATTGTGGAGTATCCATAGCATTCTCACACCAAAATTAAATTAATTTTTTTAGGCACTTTCAAAAATTAAAAATTACAGAAATTATTGACCATATCCTCAATGGAATCAAATAATATCCCATAGCATTAAATAGCAATTAAACTCGGTGTTTCTTAATGTGACTAAAAGTCGTAATATATATCACGGTTCCGTTTGGTTCATATTTTTACGTTTTTGAGAAAAGTTAAAAAAAAATTGAATTGAACGGGTATTACGATATAGGATTTAAAAATTAATAAAATACCCCTTATGTTTATTTTTTTACTAAACACCCCTATAATAAAACTTTAAAAGTTAACAAAAATACCCCCAACCCACCCATTGAATAATCACAGCCGACCACCACCGCCGGAGGGTGGCCAAAGTTGCCGTATCGGTGCATAACCGGCTGGATCTTGCCGGTCATGCGCCGATATGGCCTTTTTCGACCAGATCTACAACTAAATCTGGCCATTGATGGCCAAATCTGGCCGTAGATCTTCGTCAACGACGGCCAAAGATACGGCCATTGTTGATGGTCAACGACGACCATATGTTGGCCGTCGTTGACAACTGGTTACGGCCAAAGACTTTGGCCTTAGATCTGGCCTTTTCCGGTGGATCTGGCCGGAAAAGGCTAGATCGGTGCACTACCGGCCAGATTCAGCAGGTAGTGCGTCATTATACCAGATTCTGGCCATCTTCTGACAGTGGTGGCCGAAATCTGGTAAATGTAGATTGCTGGGGTGTTTTTGCAATTTTTTAAAAAAATATTTAAGGGTATTTAATTAAATTAACAAATTTAGGGGGTTTAAAAAAAGTTGAATAATATTGTGAGTTTTTGCAATTTTACTGTTTAACTTTATTGGGAATACTAAAAGTAGTATTCCCAAACTTGAGATATGTTTCATAAAATATTTAAAGTAAACGACTTTTCCCACCAAGGTTTGGCAAATCTGCAAGTTCTCACCTGGTTTCATAAATTACAGATTCCCACCCTTCAATTAGTAGATAATTGTTTAATCTAACAGTTAAAAGGATAAAATGGTCATTTCAAAGATAAAAATTTCAAAATAACACTTCACTTCTCAGATTCACCCCACTGAAAAATTTTAAAATAACCCTTCGCTTCTCTAATTCACCCCACCGGCGATTTCAAGCCACTTCGGCACAATTGACCCCTCCTGACACCACCATTACAATCCCCTCAACCCCCACATAAAAAACCCTAACCTCCTCACCTAATTGAACCCTCTTATTGTCGGCCATCGATTTTACTGTCAATCGACATTTCATCCAAATTCTGACAAGTCCCAACACTAAAAACCACCCCCAAGACCACCAATAGCATCGCCAGCTTCCCCCCACCAAAACCTCCAACATTACCGACTGCAATTGCCCATCCATCGTCCAGGCCTAGGTGAAGCTAAATTGTGGAGTATCCATAGCATTCTCACACCAAAGTTAAATTAATTTTTTTAGGCACTTTCAAAACAATGTAAATTAAAAATTACAGAAATTATTGACCATATCCTCAATGGAATCAAATAATATCCCATAGCATTAAATGTCAATTAAAATCGGTGTTTCTTAATGTGACTAAAAGTCGTAATATATATCACATGTTTCATAAAATATTTAGAGTAAATACCTTTTCCCACCCAAGGTTTGGTAAATCTACAAGTTTCCACCCCTAGATTCATAAATTGCAGATTCCCACCCTTAAATTAATATATAATTGTTTAATCTAACAGTTAAAAGGATAAAATAGTCATTTCAAAGATGAAAATTTCAAAATAACTCATCACTTCTCAAATTCACCCCACTATAAAATTTCAAAATAACCCTTCTAATGCCAAAAAAACCAAGAGAGAGATAACTAAACATAGAAAAAACAAGGATTTGATAAACTACCACCGAATTGTATCAAGATTCGGATACTGGATTGGATAATACAACCACAAAACTTTGATTATTTAAGATAACCACAAAAAGTTCTCAATCATTCATTCAAATAATATAATCAACTCCCTTTTCAAGGTTACAAAGACTCTTATTTATACTATAATTATCCTTAACTCACTAAGAAAGGAACCTAAATTGGAAACAAACCTTATTCTAATATGGAAAATACCTAAAACAAGAAGTTGAATTTAATTAGGACTATTATAAAATAGGAAAACCTAAATATAAGGAAATAATAAAATTTCTTTCCTAAAGAATTTTAACAATATATTTTCTGCATCACCTTCGCTTCTCTAATTCACCCCACCGGCGATTTCAAACCATTCTGGCCTGTTTCCGGCACAATCGACACCTCTTGATACCACCATTATAATACCTTCAACCCCCACATATAAAACCCTAACCTCCCCGCCTGATTGAACTCCTTAATCACCAGCCGTCGCTTTTAGTGTCAATCGGCATTTCATCCAAATTTCGGCAATTAAAACCATCACCAAGACCACCAATAGCATCGCCGGCTTCCCCGCACCAAAACCTCCAACATTGCCGACTACAATTGCGCCCCGATCGCCCAGGCCTAGGTGAAGCTAAATTGTGGAGCATCCATAGCATTCTCACACCAAAATTAAATTAATTTTTTTAGGCACTTTCAAAACAATGTAGATTAAAAATTACAGAAATTATTGACCATATCCTCAATGGAATCAAATAATATCCCATAGCATTAAATGTCAATTAAAATCAGTGTTTCTTAATGTGACTAAAAGTCGTAATATATATCACATGTTTCATAAAATATTTAGAGTAGACGACTTTTCCCACCCAAGGTTTGGTGAATCTACAAGTTCCCACCCTTGGTTTCATAAATTGCATATTCCCACCGTTAAATTAATATATAATTGTTTAATCTAACAGGTAAAAGGGTAAAATGGTCATTTCAAAGATAAAAATTTCAAAATAACTCATCACTTCTCAAATTCACCCCACTGGAAAATTTTTAAAATAACCTTTCGCTTCTCTAATTCATCCTACCGACGATTTTAGGCAATTCTAGCTTGATTCCAGCACAATCAACCCCTCCTGACACCACCATTACAATCCCTTCAACCCCCACATCAAAAACCCTAACCTCCCCACCTAATTGAACCCCCTAATCGTCGACCATTGCTTTTAGCGTCAATTGGAATTTCATCCAAATTCCGGCAAGTCCCGACACCAAAAAACACCCCCAAGACCACCAATAGCATCGTCGGCTTCCCCCCACCAAAACCTCCAACATTGTGGACTGCAATTGCCCCCCGATCGCTGGCCTCTCCCTTAGGTTTTTGCATTTTTTAACCCTTTTCCAACCAAATTCTGGCACCTCGCCGATGTGCAATCGGGTGAAAAAGTTAGGGGTTTTGGTGAGGAGGATAAAGGGATATTGATGGTGGTGTCGGGGAGGTTCAATGGTGCTAGAATCAGGCTAGATTCTTGGCTTGGCTAGGATTCTTTGGGGGTTATTTGAGAGAAATTTGAGATATAGGGGTTATTTTGAGAAAAAAATAATTGCGCTAATTTAAGAGTGGGAATCTTCAAGAAACTCTTTAATACTTTTGGGTCC